CAGCCTTCCCCTGAGTCTTGGCCGGGGTCGCCGCTTCTTTTTCTTTTCCAGCCTCTCTGGCAGCTTTTCTTCTCCTCCTGGCACCACCACTCAGGCGTTTGCCACGCTTCCTCCATTTTTTCCTTTTCATCTTCCTCCACCCCTTCCTCCTCTTCCCAGTGAACCGACTTGCCTTCTCCTGCTCGGTCTACCCGCAAGACTATTCCCCCTTCACTAGAGGAGCTGCCACTGCTGCTTGACTGGTGTGATGAGGCCGCTGATACAGGCCTGGCAGGACGTACCCATTCCTGTGGGCTAGCGGGGGGCTTGGGCATGTATCCCATTCGTTTTACTACCTCTGTAAAGGAGGCCTTAGCAGTAGGAGCCTCCTTAGAGGCCTCCTCTTTCCCAGGGGTAGCGGATGGTAGGGTAAGCTCCGACGAAACATCGGAGGTACTATGAGGTACAGCTGGTGAGGAGCGGCGGCGCAGGGATAACCTCACCTGAAGGGCTTCAATTTCCTCCCCTTGCCTACCAACAATGTCGGTCAGTACTTTTACTGCCCGTTCCAAGACACGAACTCGGCTCCAGTAGTTTATCCCGTTCCTTGGACCTTCATTGTCAAAGGTGGGGCCGCTGTTCATCCAAGTTCGTACGTCCTGTACAGTGTCGTCTTCAATTGATCCAGACTCCGAGGAAAGGAGAGGCTGAGTATTACCAGACTAGATGTCTTCCAGACTTTCCAACATGGATCCAATTATACTACCTGAGTGGGGTCCTGAAGAGGGGGTCCTACCAGCGTCTAGCATTTCACAGACACCTGCCATAATTGAGTCCGCCTGGGCTACCACAGCGCCGGCGTCCTCTGGTTGAGTTTCTGGGAGCAGAACTTCCAGTGGAGTTGAACCTCCACTAGGGGCTTCTGAGGAACCCTCTAGTTGGCCTCCAAGAGGTGACACCCATCGTCCAGTAATAGGCGGGGGTGATGAACCCATGGCTGGTGAAGGGGCGTGTAAGCTGTCGCCCAAACCAGTCGCTTCCGAGTTGCGCCCATTTTCCAGCTCCATAGGGGTATCCCTAGCCAGCACCTCAGAGGTGGGTAGGACATCCTCGGTCATCAGCGGCGACGGAGAGAGGAGTGTAGCCTCGATTGTCGATGGGAGCACCACAGGCGGAGGGATGGCCAGGTGTCCATGGTGAATCCCTAGGGGTAGGCCGGGAAGAGCGGGGACAATCTGTTTTTTCCGTCCCTCATCAACGTTGATAGCCCTCAAGAATTGGGGACCAAGGAGTGGAGCAGCAGATCGCTTAATGGGAGATGCCGACCGTGTTCGGCGGCGTGTTCCAGAGACAGGAGGGTTGTAATCCTCGTCATCAGGGTCGTCCAGCTTGAACTTCGGGGTTTCGTAAAGAGCCCTTTCGCCTGAAGACATTCATGACAAAAAGGAGGGGGTCGAGGAGCCGGTCCCGGTATTGTGGGCCTGGCGGAAGAAGCTGGGCATCTTGCTTTGGACAGCCCTAGTGAGGGGAGGAGTAGCGGACCAAGAGCTGGCCTCAACCGTGGTGGCAGTCGAGTTGTCCTTGGCGGGGGGAACGGAGGATTCAGGGACTACAGCCTGAGAATCTTTAGGAGGGGAAGGTGTGGGGGCCGGAGAGTATTCCGAGCCACGGTCCGAGTTGAACCGAATGAAGAGCCCTGTGGTAGTGTCCTTGCTCAAGCCACACGTGGCTGAACAGCCACTCCCGATCAGGAAACCTCTCACCAAAACCTCCACTTCTTTCATCGTGGCAACAGTCGTGTCAGCAACCGTTTGCCGGACCAAATCATCAAACTGCGGGTTCACCGCGTTCTGACACCCGTGGCAGTGTTGGAACTGTAAAAACTTAAAGTTTCCTTTGGGTGCAGCATAAGACCGTGTGGTGGTAGGGATGAGGCCACGGCCAGCCTCAGTAGCAGGCGCAAGAGACAGGGCCACACGGGCTGTTTCAAGCGAGGAGGAGGGGTTGGAGTCGAACCGAACAGGAGACGACATCCTCGAAGGGGGGGGAGAATCCGTGGAGGAGGAGGCTGTCGAAGATGCCATCCTCGCCCAAGCTACACTCAGTGATTACCGGGACCAGGCCACGGATATCTCACACTGAAGTATCTTCTAAGCGAGAACAACAACTTCTAACCGACCGCCCGAAACGAAAAACACAAACAAGTAACAGTAGATGAAGTATTTATCGCGAGCGTAATAAGGTAAAGTATTGGTTATGCTCACTTCCGACACGAAGTGCAAGAAGTAGGAAAAGTACTTAGAATAAAGCGTGAAGAACCTATCTTCCTCGGCCGCATCGGCCTCCTTATATAGTGTTCTTCCTGCCTTTAGTCATGTGACCTAAAGTGGTCACATGTGCGAAACTAAATTATAACAAACTAGTCATATGACCAAAGTGATCACAAGCTCAAAACCCATGACCTCCTAGCGAGGTCATGTGCGAAACTCATAAACCAATTATAATACACTAAACAAGTCATATGACTCAACTGAGTCATATGCACGAAACCCATGACATCATAATAAGGTCATGTGCGAAACATAAATCATATGCGCAAGGCTTACCCGTAAGGCACACTCATAAGGCATACTTGTCAGGTGCATGTCCCATGACTCATACTTGAGCCATGTGCAAAAGCATCACAAATCCCACACATAACTAATCATATAGCCCGAATAGGTCATATGCGTGAAACAATAACATACCTGTGACTCATAACCATGTGTCACGTGAAAACCCTTTCCTCGCTAAGCTACGTTCGTGACAGGCTGGCACCCTACTGCTGAGTGGCATCTCCTCTGTCAAAACATCCACTGCTTAGGCCTGATATCAAGGTTCCTGTTCTCAATTAGTGGGTCGTGGTATTACACTACATTCATGGCTCAGCTGGTTGGTGGCATCTGGCCTTATGCCTCTTTACTGGCCACTCAGTTCGGGAGTGGTTCTTTATAAATAGCAATCTGGCAGTTTGGTAGTCAGTTGATATTTTCTTTTGTAGCCCTTACAGGTCTAGTAGTTTACAAGATAGACTTTCACCTTATGCTTTCCTGCCTAGCTTGTTGAGCTTTCTTTCTGCTGTCTACGTGTAGTTACTGGAGATGGTCTCTTGAGCAAGAAATCTCTTTACGCATATAGTTAGCTTCTAGGTGAGACCCTTTCGCATTCAAGTCTTGAGATCCATGGACCAGGCACCTGAGTTGATAGCCTTTGCGGTGTGTGCAGTTGGGCCTATACTAGTGAGTCTTGGGGGTACAGGTTTTCTCTTGGTCCGGGGTGTAGGAGTTTTCTTTACATCATAGCTCATGCTACATGTGATGTTCTTATACCTTAAACAAGTATTAATATGATTCTAAAATTAAATAAAAGAAAGGATTAACCTAAAGAATGGTCTCCAGGTAGTTTTGTGCAAAACGGACCAGAACTGATGGAGTAATACTACTTTGAAGTTAAAAGTAGTATGTGAGGTTACCGAAGGCCTATAGGCGAGGTAACTGAAGTCCATTGCCCTGAAAGTGTAATAGTATTAGAGAATCATTAAAGATTCTGAGACACTAGTCCAAGGTCATGATGAGACCTACTTCTAGGAGGGTTGACTGTAAATAGCACCTATTGGTAGTTAACCTCCAATGGAGTCAATTGAAGGAGCTATATAGCCATCATTCAGAATGATATGGAATAGAGTAGAACCAAATAGATGTTTAGGGGCTGTGCATGCTTGTAGAAGACTAAGTGTATATGGGTAAAGAGTTCTATAGTTGGTATTGCATCTATTTGGGCATGAGATGTTCGCTACTGCCATGTCTGTGATAAGATGAGTTTTTACTCCTGTAGTTGCATTGTAGATACAGCAGCTAAAACACTTCTGTCGAGTAGATGTTAGCAAACCATGGAGTAGTCTAGTTCATTATAGAGAATCTTTAGTCCAATTCATAGAGGTTGGCTAGACAGCCCAAGGAAGTTGGATGCTCACGAACCTAAAGTAGTGATGGAGAGCAACTGGCAGTATATGAAATCTACTTAATTATATGTGAGTTCTCCTCTACTCTGACAATCAACTACCTCTCAAGATCAGGACTTAATTGAGTAAAGCTATAGCTCAATAATATTAAGTTTTACTGTTTTGTTTCTTCAAACTCTACTGTTGAGACTTTGACATTTATTATATTGTTCTCATTCGTGGAAGAATTCATTTCAGTGTGGTCGCAACCTTGAGATCCATCTTCAAAGAGGAACTCTCCATTACAATCTCTTTCTTGTATGTCTACTTTCTTGCTCCTCTCATTTGTGAATATATTCACCATAATACTAAACTTTTCTTGTAATAGCCTTCTGTACTAAACCCTTATACTCTAAACTCTCTCTCTTTCTCTTTCTCTCTAAAGCTTCCTTATCTGCCAGTTCTTATCAGCTTAAACGTCCACAAATTTTCACTCTCACTGCTATTACTAATAGTTCTTAAGTTAAACTCCTACTCTGTTCTCATTTTCTGTCTTTCCATTGATGTAGTGATATTTATCTCTGATTTCTTTTCATCTTTATTACTTTCTTGATTATAAATAACTAACATGGTATACTTTGCATATCAAATCAAGCCTTACTGTACTCTACAATTGTTCCCTCTTATTTTTCAAATCTGCTTCTCTAATATAGTTTTTACTTAAATTGAAAGTACTCTTATTATTTTATACAATTATTTTACATATTCAATCCTTCTCTACAAAAATGTTTTTCTATAATCCAGTTTTTTTACCTTACAATGTACAACATGTCAAAGTTCTGGAGAATTCTGACTATATATGTCTGATCTGTTGAACTTTCAACATTTACTACACACTTGAGCGTAAGATCGAGGGGGCTCAAGTATTATGTGTAGTTTGGTGTGGTGGGATGGCCTGATCTGGAGCCAAGCTTTGCGGCTCTGGATCTTGCAGATGACCCTTTTCTCCCGTTGTGACCCTCGATCTCCATTCTTGGGTGATGATATTATATAATATAATAACCTGTTTCTTTTAATTTCCCCTCTCTCTGATGTCTACCTCCTCTTACTCACAGTGACTATGCCGGAAATACAGGAAATAGTTGACGGAGGTGGGTCGGGAAGGAAACCGCAGAATAACCTTGTGCAGGGGACCTCAGCGGCGGGAGCCAGAGCTTTGGGAGCACAGATCATCGCATTCTACTTCCGGGCTCCGGTAAAGGCGTTTTTCAGACTACGGGTGGATTATATGGTATCTCTACACTCCTTGTGAATGTCGGGTGGTATAGTGGTTAATGAGGGTAGCACGTTCCAAGGGCTATAAATCCAAGAGTGCAAGCGAATGAACGATGGTCGTTAAGACAGTCCACTCCTGGGCTTCTATTTCATGCGGTAAAGCACCACGGATGGAAGTTCATTCCTAACCAAGGTATTACCTCACAGATCCTGCAGTACTCCCACTACACGTATTCTCACTCACGAGGAATATAGTTCTCCCACCACTAGTAGCAAATGCAACCATCGGTACGATCCTCTACACTTCGTACCTACAGGTCCTTGGAAGCCTTTACCAACCTTCCTCACAACCTACAAAACGAGTCTACCCACCACCCCCGTTCAGTGCGGCCTTCCAAGCCGGCTCTGCAGCTGGAGCCATTCAATCCCTCGTTGCGGCACCCCTCGACGCCCTAGTAGTCCGCTTCCGAGTAAACGACATGCTAGAAGGAAAGTACACATCTATGTGGCAATACGGAAAGCACAAACTTCACGAGATCGGCCTCCGAGGGGTTTTCTCGGGTTACACACTCTCCTTCCTGAAAGAGTCCCTTGGATACGGCCTTTTCTTTGGATCGTTCGAGTACGTTAAACAACAAGCTTACTTCTCATACTTGACATGGTACTACGGCCGAAGGAGACGAAAGCACCATACAGAGCATGCCACCATCCGTCCGCATTACGCCCTCGAACCGATTTTCCTGCTCCTAGCCGGATTCTCGGCCTCAGTTACTCAACAGGCAGTCCAGCACCCGTTGGCCAAGATCCAGGATGTGCATTATGGAAGACTGGAATCTATCGATTATGCCTCGAAGCTGCAGCATACTTCAGCCCTGAGGGAGTACGCGCACGGCTACGAGAAAACATTCGCGCAGTGTAAAAAGCAGGCGGTGAAGGTTGGCGGGTGGAATAATTGGTTGTACAAAGGGTTTGCGCTCAACACGCTGAGGCAGGTGCCCAGTACAGCTGCGGGGCTGATCGTGTTTGAGCTGGTTAGGAGGAAGTTTGGGGATGCGAGGGAAGCGGTCGCTATTGAGTATGAGAATTCCACGATCTTGTTGTTGTAGGTGGAGCGATTCGGCTATTTAGATGTTTTTTCAGAGGGCAGAGAGGCGACTGCTTGCGCGGTATGTGTTTTAGCGGCATTTTGTGGACGGTGTTTGGTGGGGATGTTTGCTTGCATTCCGGGCTTACTTGCTCCACTCTTGCTTGAGGGGTTTAGATTGAGTGTGATAGACTTTTAGGTGGCCTCCCCCATTTTGCTCTCCCTTTCCTCTTTCCTGAATGGGTTAGGGCTGGTAAAATATCAGGAAAAAATAGAGATAACGCGCTGTGGAGATACTGGAGATACTTGTACGATACCGTATAAACACAGAAATATAGGACTTCTCCAGACTATTCTTGCAGTGACTTGAAAACTATTGATTGGAGGAGGGATTGCATGAAAAAGAGTATTTAGGGGTCCTCCAGGCCACCCAGAGCGCTAAAACTGCTGTTCCCATAATCCTTACGCGAGCAAAACTGATATCACACCTGGATGAACACCCCCTCTGCCCATCACCATCATCAATTCTCACTCGCAGGTTGCCAGATATACACATTTAAAGCTGTTAAGCCTTGACCGAAAGGGAGAAGAACACAAGAGATAATCAAGATTCTCTAAGTCAAGTCGGAAACACTCATTCTGATAGCGAATCCATGGTATTGTCGGGAGTTATCACCTTAACGTACCGCACTTCACAGCTGCGTAAAACAATTATGGGACCAGGGGGCGGAGGAATCAAACAGGACTGGAGACGAGACAGACACGTTGTGAGCGGATATCACACCACCAGCCAGCAGAAACTCCATCCACCGAAGCACAGAGACAGTAAAATAGCCAGGGAGAGGGTTGAGGAAAGCTGACTCCTGTGGGATATTTCCAAAGATCATTGAGTTGCTCTTCGACCCAAACGGCAATGCTCAAGAAGGTGCCACCGACTCACACAAAACCTGACCGGTATTTTTCCTCTGCCTCCTGCTGATGCGCGATATATTTCTTGGAAACTCTTCCCGCCATAATCTTCCTCAGATATTCTTCAATTGTAGGCATTATGCCAGACTCGTAAAACATCCCCAACCGTGTATAGCAGGACGGTTGACTTCCTGCAGCAGGTCATTGAAGGCTCTCTCAGTTAATTTCATACGCGGTTGTGGCACTCACCATAAACCCTAACCCTTATCTTACCCATCCGAGTGAGAAAAAAATCTACAATGCCGGTGGCTGACATACCGGTATCATACAGGACTAGAAGTATGGATGCAGAGTTAAATCCCCATAGCAATATCATAAATTATGTGGTCAGTGGATTATCGTTCTTCCGCTCGTCGGTTTGGTTCTATGACTTGAATCGCAGGCAATTCGAGATCTTAGTCTATCCACATTTCACGTTATCGAGAAAGCGATGTGCTAAATATGGCCTAGTGCCAGCCGATAAGAGGGAAACGTGATGCCGCTGGATCGCTAACGATGCCAATGGCGGATTACTGGGCAGCACAATTACTCACGCCCAAATTTGGTCATTAAAAATACCCTCCCTTCCTTCCTAATTTCCCCTCGCCCCCCCCTCTCTCTTGTGCGTCTTCCCTCACCCTTGAGAGGTCGGCCAACCCATGATAGGGTGGATACCTCCCTCCACAAGAGCACTTCACAATCGATATTCCCACATTGGCTTCTAATGGAGGTTCGTTAAAAAAAAATAAGGAAAATAAGGAAAAAAAGCACGTTTCCTCCGTTTAAAAATGTCGGGTTCCCAAAGCTCGGGTCCCTTCGTCGCCGCTAAATCTACCACAAGCTCTTCTGGTTCTGCGCCACCTACACAAGCACCCGTAACAGTATCGTCTGGGAACGATCCGCAAAGACGTAGCGGGGGAGGAGGCCCTGCCTTCGGATCTAATCTTTCTTCGAGAAACAATTTGGCCTCTTCAAGAAGTAGCCAAGCAAGGCGTACGAGCCATCGCAATCGACGCAAACCCAGTGCCACAGCTTCTGAAGAGGCTGCTGCCGAGAGTCAGGTATATCGTCACTACTCGCCTCCTCCCGCTCTAGATTCCTCCTCCCTCTTTTGTTCTACCCCACCGTACAGTTAGAATGGTGAGTTAGGATTGACATAGAATATTACACCGCGAATTTAGATCACGATGGGGACGCGCAATAGACGTAAGGGTACTTCGATCACCCACCTCATGAGTTGGAATGTTTCAACCACCGCCTCTCGGAGTTCAGATAGTTACCGCTGGCATGATAGCCGCCGTTATCCGACTTACGGGATGGGCTCGGGTTACCACGAGGTGGACAAGGCTCGGTGAGATTGTTATGGTTAGATTGCTTCCGTTGATCGGTGATAGGCTAACAAGCTGGAAAAGCTATGTAAATGCCAATTATCGGTTTATTGTCCACCCCGGCGGAGATTTCCGCGCACAGACGATAAACCCCGATGATCCCTTGCCATGGAATCTTGTACTCCAGGTCCTAGCATCAGCAAAAACACAGCAGCCCACCTGTCCTATCTGTTTATCTATTCCGGTCGCTCCTCGAATGTCAAAATGCGGTCATATATTCTGCCTCCCATGTCTTATTCGGTATATGGCTTCCATCGAAGACGACAAATGCCCACTGGAGAGGCGACCGAAATACAAAAAATGTGTGATCTGCATGGATAGTGTTTATCTAGCAGAATCCCGGCCAGTCAGATTCTTCACCGGGCAGGAAAATGTGGCTCCTCGAGAAGGGGAAGATGTTGTCCTGCGTCTTGTAATGAAACGCATGGGCAGTATCCTCGCATTACCGAAGGACGGTGCCCATTGCCCTACGCGAGTGGAGGAGATTCCATGGCATTTTGCTGCTGAGGTGATGGACTATGCCCGGATTATGAAAGGGACCGAGACCTATATGACTGACCAATTTGCAAGAGAGGTGGAAGATCTTAAGGTCATGCAGCAGGAGGACGAAGCCATGTTTGGGGAAGATGGCGAATGGGCAAAGAAGGCCGTGGCATCGATTGAACTCCAAATTGAGGCGATCAAAGGAATTGGAAACCCAAAGGGCTATCTCCCCGATACCTTTGCTAGCCCCCCGGAAGTGGAGAGCGAGAGAAAGAAAGAAAAGAAGCTGGAAATCAAGTTTAATGGGAACGAAGAGGATGTTCCCCTTATGTACCACGTATCCCATGAAGCCCGTTCCGGTCATTCATCGAGCTCCATTTCGAGGTCGCAATCGCCTTCGCAGAGCAGACCTGGAGCGGCGATACTGGTACCTGCATCGGAATCAACACCGACAGTCAAACTACAGCCCCAAGATAGCGAGCTTTCTACTTCCCAGGTAGATGCAAGAGACGCAGTACGGCGTCGGAATGGGAGCTCTGCTAGGGGCGATGTTCCGTATTATTTCTACCAAGCCCTTCCTCACTACTACCTATCCACCCTTGATATCAAAATCCTGAGAGCGGCTTTTGGATCCTATTCCGAATTTCCTTCAACTATACTACCTAGGGTTGAAAACGTGATAACAGGTTACTCAGTCGACGACGATTTCCGGAAACGTGCAAGGTATCTAGCACACCTTCCTTATGGCTGTGAAGCTGCCTTCCTAGAATGCGACTGGACAGATATCGTTTCTGCGGAGGTTCTAGAAGCCTTTAGCGCTGAGATTGACCAGCGGAGGAAACGGAAGCTGGAGAAAGACTCTCGGGAAGAGCGTGCTCGGATCAAGGCAGAGAGCCGACATGAGGAAAATCACTGGGCTCTGGCTAAGCATATGAAGGAGTCACCGGTGGTTGATTATGAGCAGGGCTTACCCACGATGACGGCGACTCAGAGCATCAATAGGACCGAACCTAATGGTGGTGAATCAAGTTCTGCCATGGAAGCCGCTTCCCCACCTCTTAGCGATGATTTCCACAATGGGGAGGAATCTTCGGTCGCTGGCCTAGCATCATCCTCCACCAGTCTCGCCCAGGGGTGGACTGTTTGGGGAACACCTCTGGTACACCCCCCAGGGGAAACCGAACCTGCTATCTCTATGCCTTCATCGGATGACAATGGCGGTTGGTTACCGGACTGGGAGCGGGACCTCATGCTTCAAGAACAGGTTCTGGTAGGATTGGAACCCGCCGGGGGTGCCGCCAGCAGCAGTGGTCGGACACCTAGCCAAGGAAAGGGAGCCCAGGGTGGGAAAAAGAAGAAGTTCAAGAAAGTTACACTGATGACCAATGGGGGGAAACGCGGAGCTTAATGCGTGCATTTGTCAAACCAACTATCTGGTTGCTGTTCTGAACACCATTCACTTCTATCGTGGGTTATGCACTGCGTTCGTTCATCCGCTTTTTTTCCTTTTTTTAAACTGTTTAAATCTCTTCTTGCTCCTGCTTAAAAAATTTACTTTTCCTTGGTCCGAAGAAGTGCCCAGAATCATAAAGCATGGCGTAGATAGCGTTGGCTACTTTTGCAGATGGTGATTTTCGGCCCCTTATCCTAATCCTGCCTGGGTTGGGATCTTCTGTTTTGTTTTGTTTCTAGTTCTTCGTTTTGGGGGAGGGAGTTTTTAGGAGTTTTTAGGCTACATATATGTATTCAAGAAGTTGCAAACTCCGATATATTTCTGGTTATGGGATGAGTTCTTCGTGATATCCGCAGTTTACAGACTGCTGTTTTTCGAGCTGCTGTTCATATTCTTGAACCCTCACCTTTACACTTCCGCAGTGCTGAATTGTGCTGATATACAAGTTTTGTTTTATGTAGTTTGAGTGTACCAAATATTTTAGATAAAATAGAAGTCTTTAGTTAGTAATAGAGATGTTGGCCTAATTGATATTATAATATTATTGCATGATTGCAAAATCCAGAGCTAGGCGGCCTATTCGAGTATGCTATGAGTTCGAAATTGACCCGAAGTCACTTGTACGAGTACTGTACTGTACCTCTCAACTGTCATCATAGCTCAACAACCTTCCACCAACATCCCACAATGACCACAGCAACAAATGGCCGCAACCACAAACCTCGCGATCGAAATCCCTACGACTCCGACGACGATTCGAGCAATGAAGATGATTTCTCACCTCCTCCCCCGGACGTTAACTCCTGCACAACTGTTGAAGAACTTCGTGCGGCTCTCGCTCATCTAACTGCCCAAGACGCTTGCATAGACAACAAGCTCCGCACGTTGCTCTTGAAGCAATCTGAGCTGGAGCACTCTCTCACCCGCCTAGACCTGCTACGAGCACATCTAGGCACGCAAGTCGTGGCGGCCCGCACACTATCAAACACAATGCTCTCCCCCGCGGCAACCACCGCGCAGCGAGTCTCCTCCTCTGTGAAGCGTTTGGATATCGAGCAATCCCGCGTTAGGGCGACGCTGGAGGTCGTTGAACAAGTTTCTGAGCTGAAAGCTTGTGTTCTGGGGGTCACTGGGTCGATGGGTGCGCCACAGGATTGGGAAACCGCAGCGAGCTTCCTACATCGTGCCGGGAAGATACCACAGGAGATCATCCGTGGAGAGTTCGCGGAGGAGATAGTGCCCACTGCTGAAGTTCCGGATGTCCCTTCTGTAACATTGGAGAACGCGGCGGAGTCCCTATGTGGGCTATTTCTCCGGGAGTTTGAGCGTGCGGCCGAAGCTGCTGATGGGGAGAAGGTCACTAGGTTCTTCAAGCTGTTTCCCTTAATTGGCAGGACGGATGTTGGGCTTGAGGTGTACGGACGCTATGTGTGTCAGGGTGTTGCAGCAAGAGCTAGGGATGCGCTTGCGGCGAAGAGACAGGCTGTAGCTGATGGGGCTGGTGGGTTGGGTGACTTTTTCTATGCGAATGCGGTTACAAGGCTGTTTGAGCATATTGCGAATATAGTTGAGCAGCATGGGAAGTTGATTGAGAGGCATTATGGTGAGGGAAGGATGGGGAAGGTTATTGAAAGGCTTCAAGTCGAGGCAGATACCCAAGGGGGGATTATCATTGATACGTTTACAGATGAGAGGAGTATTGGTCGGAAGGTATGGTACTTCTCATAGTAGGTGAGTTTAGGTTACATGTGAGGTGGATGCTGATAAGTATAGCTCACGGATATCAAATCATATGCCTTCTCATTTCTGGTTCAGTCCTACATGCCATCGACAAGAGGGCCTATGGGCGGTCCTCCTCGCTCCGGTTCACCAGCTCCCAGCGGCGCGACACACAGGAATAGTGAGGATGAAGGTGTTGATGTTAGGGAGGTGGATATGCTGCTAAGTGAGATTGGGGTGATGCTTGGCCGATGGTCATTATATTGTCGTTTTCTCGCACGGAAATGCTTGGTAGGAGCTAGTCTTTCCCTTTGGATCTAAACCCTCTAACTAGATACATAGCCCCCTGAACCCGAAGGCCTGGCAGAAACCGATATCCTCCCACCCCTCGCAGCCCCCCCTATAATAACAAACTCCGCATTGTATCGGAAGGTTCAAGGCCGACTCATAGTTCCCTTCAATGCCATGATGACCTTCTTCTGCCGTCGCTCCGTCGAAAAGGCCTTCCAGCTTGACGAATCCCCCTCTGACCTCTCGTTATCACTCACCTCCCCCGCATCCTCCTCCAACCCACCATACATCACCTCTGCCGTCGACGACGTAATGTACATAGTAAATAACCTCCTTCAACGTGCTTTGCATACCTCCCAACGAGCCCTCGTCAGCAACGCAATTTCCACTGTTGGCCGAGTCCTAGGCTCAGACTTCGTTGGCATGATCCAGCGCAAAATGCAAGTAGAATGCTACCCCAAGTCCTCCTCCGGCATTCCAGGAGCTCCGGTCCCAGACGACAAAATCCTTGGCTTCCTAGTCCTCCTCAACAACCTTGATGTAGCATCAGACTACACCCACCGCCTTATCGGCACTTTTGCCAACGCCTCATCAAACATCCCCGGGGTAGACAACAACCTAAGAGTAGACGCTAGCAACCACACCGTAGCGCCATTGGAAGAACTCTTCCCCTTCCAGGCCGATGCAGCAATCGTCCGTGATGCCCTGAAAGGAATGGAAACCGCCTTCGAAGGAAAAGCAGGGGAACTAATCAACGATGGAATAATGGTCTTCTTCAATCAAGTTGTCAAACCGAAACTCCGGCCACTCCTAACAGAGGCGTTCCGTGACGTGGAGTACCTCGTCTCACCAGAAGACGATGAAAACGCATACCCCCGCTCGAACCCAGACGGCGAGCAAGAGGGAATAAGCTCTGAATCCAGAGACGAGCTCGTAAAACTACGCTTTCAAGCAGGCTGGGACACGCTCATAACACCGTACAAACGAATCCTTACAGAGAAGATATTCAACAGATTGCTTAATACTACGGCCAGTTACTTTTCCAAGCTCTTAGAGAAGCGCATTTGGGGATATGCCGGGAGGATCAGCGAATTGGGGGCCATTAGATTGGAGAGGGATGTTGCTGGTGTTGTGGGTGTCGTGGTTAGGGGCGGGCTATATGGAGTTCGAGATACATTTGCTAGGTGTTCGCAGATTTGCTTTGTGGTCAATATGGAGGAGGATGAGGTTGGGGGTCTGTTCACTGAGAGGGCAGGCAGTGGCGGTGAGGATGGGGACGGAGTTGAGTGGGTGTTGGAGGTTGAGGAGAGAAGGAGAGCTAGGGGGATGGTTGCCAGAAAGCGGTAGGTTGGTTTCACGTTGGTAGCAGAAAAATGTACCATAATTATCATACATAATCTTATGATACAAGCGCGACCTGGGAGGCTCCAACCTAGGATGCCCAGGATCTCAAAAACTAAATCGTTTTCTGAGTCCCTAGGAACATTCAGGCCTCTTTGTTACGATAGCCGTGTGCGAATCAGTGCTTATCTCATCTCTGATCGCTGCCTATCTAAATTAGATAAGCGCAGCTAACAAAAAGGCTTGAGTGTTCCTAACCTTCCTTCCTTCCCAACCGTTCACCTCTGCTGCCACTCCCAAACACCCGCGAATCACTCCCGATCACTCGAGTGTAAAATTGCTTACCGCAGCATTCGCCGGACGATAAAGGGCAAAACTTCCAATGTATGCGGTATCATGATTAAATTTTGTGATGTCTGGTTGGAACCGGTGTACCACCATGAGCAATCTTTTTCCTTTTCTTTTGATAGGTCAAAAAATTGATTGGCATACCCACATATCGTGACAAGATAAAAAAGGAAAAGAGAAGGAAGAAAAAACAAACATTAACCCAACCCAAGCTCATCCCGTGATATTACCACAATCCCAATCATACAGAAGAAAGAAAGCTACAAGTAGTTTTTTTTAAAAAAAAAAAAAAAAAAAAATACCCCCAAACCCTTCCTCCGGAAGAACCTATCCTAGCCTCTGCAACAGCCGACTCTTTCTCCTCTCCACCAAAAACTCCGTAACCTCGTCCAATCCAGGTGCCACCCACCCATCAGGAATCGGCGTCCAACCCTCGGGCACCCCCTCCTCCCCTGTTCTTTCCACATTCCTAAAACTCTCCATCTCCTTCGCCCTCTCGTACGCTAGCAAGATTCCATCATCCTCATCCCTATTGAAACCGTAATAATCCGCGTCCACATTCCTCCTCATCTCTGCCCTCAGCCTGCGTTCTTCATCTTTCCCCTCTGCAGCCTTCTTGGAGGGCTTGAGTTCGTCGAAGAGCTCTTTAACCCCCGGCAGTTCCCGCGCACGGCCAAAGTATTTGTAACCACGAGAACCGGGCACTTCGCGGCCGTCCTCATCGTAGGTTTTTGGGCCGAAGCGCATGTAGTTTGGCCCGCCGAGGTTGCGGAGTTGCACCTCCCACATGTGCTTCTCCCGCATTAGTTTGTTGATTTCGTCGTTTAGGTCGCGGATCTGATAGTCTGAGAGGCTGGCTTTGGGTGTGTTAGAGTAGACAGAGGGGAGTTGGGGGGGGGAGGTACGGTCTTGGATTTTTGTGACTTTGCGGGAAATGTCTTTGACTACTTGCCCGCGCCATTTCTCGCATGCTGGGATTGCGGTTACTTCTGTTATTACTTTTGGGCGGCTGGTTTATTCTCTCAATCAGCATATTATTGTTATGGTTGGGCGGGTCGGGGCAGAGGTTGGCTCACCGTGTTCGCCCAGCATCGATAATTCCTAGGTCCGCCGCCTGCTGCTCGCGAAAGCGAAATAGCATTGATTGGGCCTTTTCACTGTTTCGAGCCTGGGATGGATTAGCTAGTTTACTGCAGTATCAGGGCAGGGAGTGGATAGTGTAAGGGAGTTATTACCATGCTTGCTAAATCTTCGGAGGTGGTAGAGGTGTGTGTTGAACAGGGAAGTTTCGATGGGACGAATTAAGGCCTGGGTGTTTTGGCTGTGTATGTAGTGCTCGAGTACCGTATCATACTCGTGCAATAGGTCTTGGCGCCGCGGCAGAGCCGCAACGCTCGGCGTACAGGGGTTAGGCGGGGTGGTGAATTGACCGGTTTTTGGGAATGTACGAGTATGATACCGCTACTCTACGGAGTAGTAGGCTAAGAATATCGCCCCCCAAGCTCTACTCACCAGAGGAGGGGCTCTCTTCGCTCACTCACGCGGGGCATACTACAGTACTCGAGTATCTCCTGGACTGCTGAAACCGTGTTTAAAACAACGCTGACTAAGGTACTCACTTAGTATTATTCAGTGACGGTGATCGTAGGCGCGACCATAACTAGTATTATCGAGGTTTTGCACTAGCTGCACGCACTCCACAGGAGGGGGTTGCAACCTGAAGTGCGAGCCGGGCAAAAAGTGAGGTTTTGCAGGTATCTCTGAGCGCACTTCAATTTCTTGGTGAGCATGATTACCCTCCACCATACCAACCGATAAAAATCTGTAGACATGGTGGCAAACATATTCTGTAATGGCTTCTCACAATTCTGAGCCGGGCCCTGTGCCCACCAAGGCTGATGATGAGGGGAAATGGTCACAGTCACAGTCTTTGGTAAAGAATTTCTATCCCTAGATCCAAGTACTAGGCTTTGATTTGTATCTGATGAGACTAATATTCATACTTATGAGTAGCAAGAAACCCTGAAAGAGCCCAGATATGATCCTTCTTTCCCTTCGATCAATTATACATACCTGCCCGCTAATCCTATTCTGATCCAAAATAGGAGTCTGGATATCAGAGAGTCTTGGTATTGTAGCAACTCTCATTTAGAAAACTAAAAGTCTCACCCGGTTCACAGTACAGTGGGTACTTCCTCTTGGGCATTTGAGCCAACTACTAGTGTTGGTATTCCTCTTCCAATCCCTGAGGGAGGAAGTGCAGTTGGCCTTAGTTGTCCAGGCATCCAAGAGAATTGTAGGTCAGAAGAAGCCAATTCAAGTCTAAGTTGTAGTAGGCCTCTAGCTGGTAATTCAGCCCTTTTTACAAGAAGGATGGCAACAAAATGAGTGTTTTTGAGATCAGATGAGGACAAGGCTCAGCTTGTACATTTGTGTATAGCAAATTTTGGCAATTTTGTAAGGGGAAAGGAAAGATTTTGGTTGAAGATTATTACGCTTTATCAGCAGCTACATCCTGAGTGTATAGCACCAAATGTTAAAGGATATATGCAACAGTTTGCAGTTCAGTGCAAAAAAGAGGTAGAAGAGACATTAAGTAAGAGTAGGATAGCAGAGTTAGCGACAGAATAGCAGCAATCAATAGATCACTGGTTTGAGCTTGTGAGAGATTTGTGAAGACCAATTAAAGGAGAGAAAGAAAGAGATAACAACTTTCTGCAAAAACATAACAAAGTTATTCATGCAAAAGAGGGAACTACCTGAGCTTGCAAGTTCTCCAATTATAGTGGAAGATAGCAGTGGGGAGAGCAAACCAGCAACTGTATTGGGCAATTCTGATAGCCAATTCAGTGATAGCATTCCAACCAAAAAGCATCAGTCCTGTGCTACTGGTCCTGAACCTGCTAGCAATAGAGCATTTGCTTCTCAAAGGCACACCACAGACCGAATTTTAAATACTCTACGAGAGGATAATCAGGAAATGTTAAAGCAGATATGGAAAATAAAGTACAAAAAAATAGAGCGTTGGAAGGAGATTTTAGGAGGAGCTAGTTGGAGTGACAATCAAGTACTTGGAGAACATATTGAGCAGTTGAAGAAGCAGAGTAAGGAAATTCAAGAGACTTTAGCTAATATTGTTACTATCTTTCGAAATTTTGAGGGACATTTACCCTAAAGAAATCTTCTATGTACATGTTCAGTGCATTATTTTTATCTCCTGTTAAGTGAAAATATTCACAAATAGTTGGAGGAGAACATTCAAATAAAAATCCTGTCTTCGAGCTATAATAGCAAGTATGACAGTTTGTTAATAAAGTAGAAGCAAAGTAGTAAGTACCAGTAGGAGAGGGTCCAATCTTGAGATTTTTCTATAAATGATTAAATTCAAAACATTGAGTAATCTTCCCAAATTCCCATTCTACTAACATCCTTTACTTTGCCAAATAGGCATTGAATACTGACTCTTCTAAAGTTAATCCTTCATTTCTCTGTACTCGGTATGCACCAATTACCTCCTGCTATAGGTAAAACACTTTATCTCCCTACACAAAAAACTAGTCCCCTTCATCGTTCTTCGCATATCTTGTTATATTTTCCTGCAAGCCAAACTCCTTAAACATTCCCCAGTCCCTAGCTCTTCTCTCAAAGAAACCATATATTACAGCTACTAGCCCATCAGGTACCACTACCGCCAGAAATTACAGAGTGTGATTGTTCTTATAATTTAAGTAGAATAATTCTTGGTTGGCTGTTTCCGAACAAGGGCGACAAATAGATTGATATGTACGATCAATGAATTCTCAGACTAGTCTAGAAGGCTCATTTCTTTTGTAGGTTTTGGAATAGTAAGATTGTAATCTAATAGGATTTAAAAGTACATGATCCCATTCTAGCTTCACCTGAAACCTTCTATAGAGATAGATACACACTCCATTGAACGCTGAACTCAGTCATCCCTACTCTCAGCCAAACTCAACTGCACAATCCTTTATTCGGTGTGGCCAGGAAAGGCGGAAGCAGACAAGAGCAAGTGTAGTGGTTGGTAGTGCATAGTACTGATCCTCAAAGTGCTCTGGTATCTCAAGCAAAACTGAGAGCTCACAGATTTCCTGCTTGGAGAATCGTAAGAATTCATGACACCAATTGTCATTCTTATCTTACAGTAACCACATCTGCGAGGTGTAGTCAAGTGAGGGCTTATAGTACTAGTCATATACAATCATGGTTGGGCCAGAAAGCATAGCTATCAGGTAACGCTCCCACCTGTGCTGTCGGTAAAGGAGAGTGGCTAAAGTCATGTCCAAGTTGGAGGTTAACATGGCCGTGATCGGCAAATTTATCAGATTGAGATTCATGGCAGGAATAGGTAAAATGCTTTTGGTATAAGGATAGGGTAGGGTGTAACTCTCATATATTTCTTGTCTGCTATAAGTATTTGAGGCGAGCATCTTGATTACCATATCTAAATCCTCCAATCATAGTATTTATTTACCCTCTAAGTATGTGTTGAAGTATGAAGGGTGTAGGGGAAAGTCTGGTGAACATGGCAGTGCATATAGCAGTGGCACTGTCTTAGAAGAGGGGTTGTTGACGTAGTAATTCTGTTATCATGAGAATCTACTATTTAGAGACTCAGAATTGGTCAACGATACTGAAGCATATTGTCACGAACGTGGCTTGGCACGGAAAAGGTTTTCACATGACTCATGATTATGAGTTATAGATATGTTATTATTTCACACATATGACTCATTTGGATCATTTGACTTATTATATTATGATTTGTTATGTTTCACACATGACTCAATTGTGAGTCATGAGACGTGCGCTTGGTGAAGAATGCCTTGTGAGTATGCCTTGCGGGTATGCCTTACGCATATAATTTATGTTTTGCACAGGACCTCGTTATGATGTCATGGATTTTACGCATATGACTGATTCGAGTCATATGGCTTGTTTATTGTGTTATGATTGGTTTATGAGTTTTTGCACATGACCTTACTATGAGGTCATGGGTTTTAAGCGTATGACCACCTTGGTCACATGATTAGTTTGTTATAATTTGGTTTTGCACATGTGACCACTTTTGGTCACATGATTATGGGCAGGAAGAACACCATATAAGGAGACCGATATGGCCAAGGAGGATAGGTTCTTTACGCTTTGTTCTGAGTACTTTTCCTACTTATTACTTTAACAAATATAAAACACCTTTACGATCTTTATCTTTATTGCAACATTATCATTACGCTAAGAAAAGTTCTTCACAAAAAAGTGTTAGAGAAAGCTTACGATAGGCGTTCCCGATAGAAGATAAAGGTCTTGTACTATCGGTAATGTAGGCAGAGGCCTAGTGCTATCATAAGACTAAGAAAAGAAACAGAAGAAGAAGAGAAGTATCGTTCCCTATCACAAAGAACTAACTATCTGAGGAGGGATTATTACACATATTACCACTCCAAAATGAAAACCTCTAGTACTCGCACAGATTACTATCATTGTCACGAACGTGGCTTAGCGAGGAAAGGGTTTTCACATGACACATAGTTATGAGTCACAGGTATGTTATTGTTTCACGCATATGACCTATTCGGGTTATATGATTAATTATGTGTGGGATTTGTGATGCTTTCGCACATGGCTCAAGTATGAGTCATGGGACATGTGCCTGATGAGTATGCCTTACGAGTATGCCGTACGAGTAAGCCTTGCGTATATGATTTATGTTTCGCACATGACCTTATTATGAGGTCATAGGTTTCACGCATATGACTCAGTCGAGTTATATGACTTGCTTATTGCGTTATGATTGGTTTATGAGTTTCGCACATGACCTCGCTAGGAGGTCATGGGTTTTGAGCATGTGATCACTTTGGTCACATGACTAGTTTGTTATGATTTAGTTTCGCACATGTGACCACTTTAGGTCACATGACTAAAGGCGGGAAGAACACTATATAAGGAAGCCGATGCGGCCGAGGAAGATAGGTTCTTCATGCTTTGTTCTAAGTACTTTTCCTACTTCTTGCACTCGGTGTCGGAAGTGAGCACACCCAATACTTTACCTTATTTCGCTCGCGATAAATACCTCATCTACTGTTACTTGTTTGTGTTTTTCGTTTTGGGCGGTCGGTTAGAAGTAGTTGTTCTCGCTTAGAAGATACTTCATTGTGAGATATCCGTGGCCTAGTCCCGGTAATCACTGAGTATAGTTTGGGCGAGGATGGCATCTTCGACAGCCTCCTCCTCCACGGATTCTCCCCCCCCTTCGAGGATGTCGTCCCCTGTTCGGTTCGACTCCAACTCCTC